CTTTACTTTGCTTTTACTTTGCTTTTATTCTTTACTTTTCTCCTTTCTCTACTTTTTTCTTTTAACTTTTTATTTTACTTTTATTCTTTAATTTTTTCTTTAATTTTCTTCTCTCCTTTTTTCTTTTCTCTTTATTCTTACTGTTTCGGTTTTTTTCTTTATGTTTTCCTTTTTTCTTTAACTTTTTCTTTAATTTTTCTTTACTTTTATCCTTCACTTCTTTCTTTATTTTATTCTTTGCTTTTTTCTGTACTTTTATTCTTTACTTTTCTCCTTCCTTTCTTCATTTTATTCTTTTATTCTTTACTTCTATTCTTTACATTTTTCTTTACTTTTATCCTTTACATTTATTCTTGACTTTTTTCTTTATTTTTTCTTTATTTTTATCTCCATTTTTATTCTTCACTTTCTTATTTTTTCCATTTTTTTTAAATTTTTTCTTTTTCCTTTTAATCTTTCCTTTTATTCTTTCCTCTTCCTTTCCTTTTTTCCCCCTTTTTTCTTTACTTATTTTATTATATTTATATATTTCAATATCTATACTACTACACAAGACATCGTCCCACGTAGTTGTCGGCCTCTACATAATCAGTGGAAAAAACCCCAAAATCGGTTTCTTTTGGGTTGTTTTCCCTGTTTTTAGGATGCCGCCATCAGCAAGGAGCCTCTGGTGGACGGCTCCCCCTACCCCGCCTACGAACGGGGCCAAAAGCGAGGAGTTTGGGTTAACGAGTCCGACGGGGTCACGCCAGTTGTGGGCCAGGTAATTGCCCGCTCCAAATTGGGCTGAATCTTCCCTTTTTTGGCTTTTCCTGGTTTTAATCCATTTTTCTTCAAATTTTGTTTTTCTTCACCTTTTGATTTGTCCAAAACTGAGGGATTTCGAAGGGAGGGGGGACTCGAGCAGCCAATGGCGGGGGTTGTGTTTCCAAGGGGAAAATTCCTACATTTCTAGGTTTTTGGGTAAAACTTCAATAATTCGAAAAGCATTTTGACTTCAGATCCTAATTAGTTCATTATTTCTAATTAAATATTTTTACAAACCCACTTTCTGGCCTCTTTCTGAGCGCAGATTTGATCGTAATTTATTTAATACCATTATTAAATCATTAATTGATAGACAAACTCATATTAATTCATCGATGGTTAAAATTATTTATTTCCCTTTTTTTCTTGAGTGTTTCTTTTTTTTTTTTGACGGCAGGTCTGGCCAGGAACCACCGTTTTCCCCGATTTCACCAACCCCGAGAGCTCCAAATGGTGGGTGGAGGAATGTCAATTATTTTACCAGCAAGTGCCCTACGACGGCATCTGGATCGTACGTAATTTCCCCCAAAATTCCCCATTTTCCCCAAAATTTTTTTCCGGGGTTGGGCCTGGATCCATTCAAGGGACTTTTCCCCAAAATAACCTCAAATGCTGGGGGGAAATTGTGTATTTTCTGCATATATTTTTCTGTGTTTTATTGGGTGTGTTTTCGATGTGTTTGGGTGCAATTCTTGATTTTCTGGGTTTTGTTGGAAATTTGATTTAATATAATATAACGTAAAATAATAATAATAATCATACAATAATTGTAATATAATTTATCCAAGAACCAACTGGGACCAGTCGTAATAACGACCCCAACTTTAAATCTTAATAAACTGTATCTTTGGAGGACAAAATATTTTTATAAAAATTATTTAAAACTTATTGAAATTACAGAATATATAAAATTAAATTTTTAAAAATTATAAAGAAGGCTGCCCTCCGTAGGATTTGGGGCTTTGACTCATTATGGTCATTTTTCTCAGGCCAGAACGGGTAAGTTTTGTTCATATTTCAGAATTTGGGAAGAGTTTTAACACTTAATTCCTCCAGTTTGGGTTGAAAACCCTATTTTGAAAAACAAAACAAAACAAAATTCTATTTTTAAAAATTATTTATTACTTTGTAAATCAACGTCCTGGAGGAGGAATTCGAGTTGTAGTTGCTGTGGGGGGGAGGGGGGTTGTGACTAGATATTGGGCTGAAAACCCCAGGAATTGTTGCTGCGAGGATGACATAAAATTTGAAATTTAAAATTTGAATTGGGATTTTTTTTTTATTTTTTCCAGGATATGAACGAAGTCTCCAGCTTCGTCGCGGGCTCAGTTAATGGCTGTAAACAGAACGACCTAAACTTCCCCCCTTTCACACCCCGTAAGTCCATCGTCTTTAGGGGGGAAAAAAAAAAAACACACGAAAAAAAATCTACATTTTTTTGTGAATTACTGCCCAAGGAGGTAAAAGACTTAAATTCTTTATTAAATCGGGAATTTGATGGCTCCTGGGACATGGCCAGATCAAATTATTCAGGAATTTGGGGTGTGGATTTGGGGTGAGTCCTTCCTTGTGTCCCAGATGAGTCCTGGGGCTGGAATTAAGCTGATGAAATTGGAAAAAAAAAAAAAAAAATTAATAAAATCTTAAAAATTTAATAAAATTCAATAAAATTTAATGAAAGTAGCCTCAGACTACTAAAACTACCCCCACGACCCCCCGTCAGCGAAGCTGCATTTTAGCAGCAACCGGGGAATTATTTTATTTTATTTTTTTTTCTAGAATTTTGAAAGTGGAAAAATGCCAGAATGTTCTCCTTCGAAATTCTTCTTCTTTTGAGGGGAATTCTGAAGAATGTTGTCACTCTTCTTCAAAATTCTTCTTGTTTTGGGGGGAATTTTGAAGAATTTCTTCTTCTTCAAAATTCTTCTTCTTTTGGAGGAATTTTGAAGAATCTTCTTCTTCAAAATTTCTCCAAAAATGTTCTTCTCCTTCAAAATTCTTCTTTTTTTGGGGGGTGAATTCTGGTAAATTTCAGCCCGGGGAGGGTGTCTAACACCCCCCTCTACTCCCAGGATGTGCAGCAAAAAGGCCAAAATTTCCCGAATGTGCGTGAAGAAAAAGAGAAACACTGTTGTTTTTTGATTAATTACTTAATTTTTGATGAAATTTAATTTTTTTAAAAAAAAATTGAATTAAATCGATTTAAATACCCTTCAGACGTGGTGGATCGACTCCTCTTTTCCAAGACGATCTGCATGGACGCGGTGCAGGCCTGGGGGAGACAATACGACGTTCACAACCTTTACGGCTACTCCATGACCCTCTCCACCAAAGAGTGAGGAATCCTCCTTAAAATTTTGGGCCAAAAAAATAAAAAAAAAAAGAAAGAAAAGTGGGCAGAGCAGAGCCACTTAGAGAAACAATCTCAGAATTTTCAGGAATTCAACAAGAACTGGGGGGCAGAGCAGAGCTACTTAGAGAAACAATTTCAGAATTTTCAGGAATTCAACAAGAACTGGCTCCGGGGATTGATATCGCGGCTCCAAACAGGGGACTGAAGCCAGGCATTAAAAAATGACATTATTTTTAAACTGGAATTGAATTTTCCAAGCGAAATTTGAAGTCCCGCAGCTGGGCTTTTGAAAATCGCCTTGTTTTTTTAAAGCCCTATTGAATTTCGAAGCAAAAATTCGAATTCCTGGTGTTGGATTTTCAGTGGAGGAAGCTGAAAAGGAGACGTGGGGCCTCGGGCGCGGGTGTTTGTGGCCAACCCAGCCCAAAAATTGGGAGAGATTTGTTGTTTGGAGCTCAAACAGGATAAAAAAATAACGTAAAGATTCTTTAAGGTGAATATATATATTTAAAAAAATTGTTAATTTTGTTAATAGTCATCGGGTCAAACTTAAGGGCGCTTATTTATCAAAGTGAATAAATAAATGAAAATTAATAGGAATTCACTTTATAAAAATCAACTCGTTTTTTAAAAAAAATTTATTTGATTTTGCCTAATTCCCAAATTTTTTTTTTTCCCCTTTCAGAGCCATTAAAACTTTGTTTCCTGGCAAACGGAGCTTCCTCCTCACGCGGTCGACGTTTGCGGGATCGGGGAAGTACTCGGGGCACTGGCTGGGGGACAACACGGCCTCCTGGGACCAGATGAAATGGTCCATCCCCGGGATGCTGGAATTCAGCCTTTTTGGGATCCCTTACGTACGAAATACAACCATTTCTGACGCCTTCTCTCTCTAAAAGTAGAAAAAATATCAATAAATGTAGAAATAAGTTAAATAAATTCATAGAAATCAACCTAAAACCCCATCTGGGCCCGATGTGTATAAGCCCGTCTGAATTCTAAAAAAAAAGAAAAGGATATAAATAATTATGGGTTCACAAATATGTATAAATAAAAATAGAAAAAATTAAATAAATGCACAAATAATTTATATAAATTAATCTAAATTAATGTACAACCTGATCTGGACCTGATATATCTAAGACTATCTGAATTCTAAAAAAAAAAAAGAAAAGAATATAAATAACCTATGGATAAATAATAAAATAAATAATAAATAATAAACATATAACCTGATCTGGACCTGCTATGTCTAAGCCTATCTGAATTCTAAAAAAATAATAAGAAAAGAATATAAGTAACTATGGATTCATAAATATGTATATAGAAAAATAGAAAAATTATCGATAAATGCAAGAGTGAATTATATAAATTATATTTGAATTATTCTGACTCCCCCTGTGTGCTGATGGTGGCCTGAAAAATTAATGGATTTTGGATGCAGACCAAAAAAAAAATATATAGAAAAATAGAGAAAATTTTGCATTTACCTGGTGAATTCTGCCGAAAAAAAAGTATCTCAGAAAATTCTGAAATTCTATCTAAATTTCAATTATTTTGACTCCCTGTGGGCTTATCCTGGGCTGAAAAATTAATTACAGGCCTTGGATGCAGACAAAAAAAAAATACAGAAAAATACAGAAAAATCTGGATTTACCTGGTGAATTCTGCCAAAAAAAAAAAAAAATAAAAGCATCCCAGAAATTTCAAAAATTCTGGGTTTCGACCAGAGGGAAATTCAAGGGGTAAATTGAGGAAGGGGGGAGGGATTTGGAAGACTCTGTGGGGAAACGTGTTGAACGATTCGATTTCCGTGGTGAGAAATTAGGGATTAATTAGAAAAAAAAAAATAGCTCAGTCCTTGGAATTTTTTTTTATGGTAGAGATTGAATTTTTTGGGTTTGTTCTGGTTTTCTTTTAAGATCGGAGCGGACATTTGTGGTTTCTTCGAAAACACCACGGAGGAGCTTTGTCGCCGCTGGATGCAGGTGGGAGCCTTTTACCCCTTCTCCAGGAACCACAACACCGAGAAATGCACCGTAAGTGGCCAAACCCACCCCAAAAAAACCCCTCCTTTTGGGGCAGACGGTTCCGTTTTGCTTCATTAAAGCCAGTTCTGAGGGTGAAATTCGGTCGCTGACCGTTAAATGGCCAATGGGGGTAGGAGTTTGGGGAATCCTCCCTCCGAAAGGTTCTGGCTTCGTTAGGGGTTAATGATGTTCTTGAGGAGCATCGTCATCAACGTCAAGTTTGGTCCCTGTTGGGGGGAATTATAATCATAATAACAATAATAAATAAAAATATGAAGAAGGAGAAGGAGAAGAAGAAGGAGAAGAATGCGGTGTTCATCCTGGAGAACAGGAGGCTGAGGGGAGACCTTCTCGCTCTCTCCAACCCCCTCAAAGGAGGAATAATAACAATAATAAATAATAATATGAAGAAGAAGAAGGAGGTGGAGGAAAAGAAGAAGGAGAAGAAGGAGAAGAAGGAGAAGAAGAAGGAGAAGAAAGAGGAGAAGAAGAAGAGGAGGAGGACGAGGAAGAGGAAGAAGAAGAAGAAGGAGGAGGAGGAGGAGGAGGAAAAGAAGAAGGAGAAGAAGAAAAATTAGGAGAAGAAGAAGGAGGAGGAAAAGAAGCAGGAGAAGAAGAAAAAAGAAGGAGAAGAAGAAGAAGGAGGAGAAGAAGGAGAAGAAGAATTAGGAGAAGAAGAAGAAGAAAAAGAAGAATTGAGAAGGAGGAGGAGGAGGAGAAGAAGGAGAAGAAGAATTAGGAGAAGAAGAAGAAGAAAAAGAAGAATTGAGGAGGAGGAGGAGGAGGAGGAGAAGGAGGAGAGAAGGGTCTGGAGCCCAAGGAGAAGGGTCTGGAGAAGGAGGAAAAGGGTCTGGAGCCCAAGGAGAAGGGTCTGGAGAACTTCTGAGGAGCATCTGAGGGATCTTGCGGTGTTCATCCTGGAGAACAGGAGGCTGAGGGGAGACCTTCTCGCTCTCTCCAACCCCCTCAAAGGAGGATGTAGCCAGGGGGAGGTGGTCTACTCTCCCAAGGAACAAGAGGAAACCACCTTGAGTTGCACCAGGGGAGGTTGAGGATGGAGATTGGGAGCAATTTTTCCACGGAAAGGGTTGTGAAGCCTTGGAAGAGGCTGCCCAGGGAGGTGGTGGAGTCGCCATCCCTGGAGGTGTCCCAAAGCCAGGTTGACACCGTCCTGAGGGACATGGTTTCACGGTGGCTTTGTCGGTGTTGGGTTGATGGTTGGACTCCAGGATTCCAAAAACCAGGTGGACACGGTGCTGAGGGACGTGGTTTCACGGTGGCTTGGTTGGTGTTGGGTTGATGGTTGGACTCCAGGATCTGGAAGGTTCCTCCCAACCAGGATGATTGCACCGTTTCTCCTTAATTTCCAGCCCCAGGATCCGGCCTTCTACGGAGCCGACTCGGTTTTGGTGAAGTCCTCCAAGCACTACCTGACCATCCGCTACACCCTCCTGCCCTACCTCTACACCCTCTTCTACCGGGCCCACGTCCAGGGGGACACGGTGGTGAGGCCCCTTCTCCACGAGTGAGTCCACCCTCCCAATTGGGTGGGGTTGGGGGGGAGGAGGAAGGGCGGGATGAAGGCCCTCGGGGGGCTCTGCTGGACCCACCCCTGGTCTGGAGAAGACCCTGCCCATCACGACGTCTACGGACGCCCACCTTCACCCAACACCACCTTCCTGGGGGAGGTTTTTGGGGGGAGAATCGTTAAAACCTGAAAATGCCGATGAAACGGTTCTCCAGCAGGGATTCTAGAGGGAAAAATGTTCATTTTCTCACTTTTCTTTTTCTTGGAAATCTGGAAATCTGGGACAGAAGTGTACGAAGACATCACGCCCCCAGACACGGCCGTAATCAATCCAGATTTAGTTAATTTCGAAAAGTGGCCTCCCCCTCTTCCCGATAGTGATTCTGGGCGACCGGGACCTTGAGGTGTTGGATTAAGACGATATTAATTAAGATGTTGTTAATTAATGAGGGTCATTAATGCCGCCTGTTTTTTTTTTTTAGGTTTTACTCCGAGGAGGAGACGTGGGGGGTGGACAAACAGTTCCTGTGGGGGTCCGGGCTCCTCATCACCCCCGTCCTCGAGCCGGTGGGTCCCGATTCCTCCAGGATTGGGGGGGAATTCCCCGGGGGGGGCACCGGAAACAGCTTTTGGGGGGGGAATTATGGGGGAAAATAGGGAAAAAAGGGAAAAAAAGGGGGGAAAGGGGGACAAAATAAAAATGGGAATAAAAGGGGGGAAAAGGGGAGACAAAATAAATAAGAGAGGGGGAAAAAAAGAGGTGGAAGAAAAGGGGGAGGGGAAGAGAAGGAAAAGGAGAAAAAAAAAAGGAGAAAAAAGAAGGAGAGAAAAAAGAAGGAAAAAGGAGGAGAAAAAAGGAGAATGAAAGGAGGAAAAAAGATGAAAAAAAGAAGGAAAAAGGGAGGAGAAAAAAGGAGAAAAAAAGAAGAAGAAAGGAGGACAAAAGGAGAAAATAAAGAAGGAGAAAAAGATAACAAAGAGGGGGAAAAGGAGAAAAAAGGAGAAAAAAAAGAGGAAAAAGGAGGAAAAAAAGGGGGGAAACAGAGAATAAAAGGAGTAAAAAAAGGAGAGAAAAGGAGAAAGAAGAAGGAAAAAAGTAGGAAATAAAGGAGGAGAAAAAAGAGAAAAAAAAAGAAGAAAGGAGGACAAAAGGAGAAAATAAAAAAAGGAGAAAAAGATAAAGAGGGGGGAAAACGGGGAATAAAATGAGTAAAAAAAGGGAGAGAAAAGGAGAAAGAAGAAGGAAAAAAGTAGGAAATAAAGGAGGAAAAAAAGAGAAAAAAGGAGGAGATTAAAAAGAAGGAGAAAGGGAGGAAAAAAGGAGGAGATAAAAATGAGTAAAAAAGGAGGAGAAAAAAGAGAATAAAAATAAGAGAAATAGGGCAGAAAAGGAGAAAGAAAGGAGGAAAAAGGAGGAAAAAAAAAAAAAAGGAAGAAAATAAAAGGAGGAAAAAGGAGGAGAAAAAAATAACAAAGAGGAAATCCCGTGGTCCATTTTATGACGATTTTTGGAAATGCCAAGTTATTTGTGATTTCTCCCCCGCCTTGTCCCGTCGGGAGGGGGGATGGGGGGGACAGAGGGACCGGGTGGGCACCGCCCCCTTCCCCTCCCCCCACCCCGCGACGAGGTGAAACCTGAGGGAAGTTTCTGTGTTTCCAGGGGGCGAACGTCACCCAGGGCTACGTCCCCGACGCCGTCTGGTACGACTACGACTCGGTGCGTGAGGGGGGAATCGGGGGGAAAAACGGGGCATTTGGGGCCGATAAAAGTTCAGTAGATTATTTTCCGTAGATAAAATTTCGGTAGATAATTTGGGCAGATGAAAATTTGGTAGGTGATATCGGAAGACAAAATTCTGGTAGGTAATTTTGGTGGAAATCTCCGTAGGTGATTTTTGGCAGGTGAAATTTTGGTAGATAATTTTGGGTAGACAAAATGGTAGGTAATTTAGTAGGTGAAATTCTGGCAGATAATTTATTAGATGAAGTGTCGGTAAATAATTTTGGTAGATAATTTGGGTGGACAAAATGTTGGTAGATAATTTTGGCAGATAAACTTTTGGTGGGTAATTTAGTAGAAGAAAATTTGGTAGGTAATTTGGTAAATAATTTTGGTACGTAATTTTGGTTGAGAAAATTTTGGTAGGTAAATTTTGATAGATAATTTTGGCAGATGAAATTTTGGTAGACGATTTATTAGATGAAATTTTGGTAGATAATTTTGGGTAGATGAAATTTTAGTAGATAGTTTTGGCAGATAAAATTTTGGTAGATAATTTGGGTACATAATTTGGGTAGATAAAATTTTTGGTGCATAATTTTGGCAGATTAAAGTTTGCTGGATCATTTTTTTGGTACATAATATTTTGCTAGATAAAATTTTGTTAGTTTGGGTGGATGAAATTTTGGTAGACAATTTGGGTAGCAAATTTTGGTAGATGAAATTTCGGTAGATAACTTTGGCGGATGGATAAAATTTTGGCGGATAAAATTTTGATAGACAATTTTTTTGCTAGATAATTTGGGTAAATGAAATTTTGGTAGTTAAAATTGAGAATTTCAAGTGGCAGCGACTCACGGAGCCTCCTCTTCCTCCCTCCCCCCACCCCCGGAATTAGGGCGCGAGGATCTGGTGGAGGAAGCAATGGGTGGATTTTTACTTCCCCCCGGACAAAATGGGCCTTCACCTGCGGGGGGGGCACATCCTCCCCACCCAGCAGCCGGCGACCACCACCGTGGCCAGGTAAATCCCCGCTTCCCAGCCCAAACTGCTCCAAATTTGAGATTTTTTCAAAATTTCGAGGTCACCTGGTTGCAGGAAGAAAAAAAAAAAAAATTGCAATAAAATTAAGTAACAATAATAATTAAGAAACTCTAATAAAATAATAAGGACTAAAATAAATGTGATTATTGTCAAAATCGTTATTATAATTATTAATTTTATTAGGAGTAAAAGTATTATTATAAATCAATAAGTATCACTATTATTATATATATTAGTATAATCTGCACTTTCTGCCCCAAAATTGTTCTAAAGTTGAAATTTTTTCAGAATTTCGAGGCCACCTGGTTGCAGGAAAAAAAAACATGCCCCCAAAATTGCAATAAAATCAAGTAATAATTATAATTAAGAAATAATAACAAAACAAGAAGGGCTAAAATAAATTCTACTATTGTCATAATAGTCATTATTATCATTATTTGATACTGGGCGTCAAAAGAGAATTCTTAGTTTTGAACCCCTGCTGAAAATTAATTATTGAAATTAAATTTATTCAATTTCAATTAATTAATATTAAATTAATTAACATTAAGTAAATTAAAATGAAATTTATTGAAATTAAATTTGTTAAAATTAAAATTATGACATTTAAAATTGTTAAAATTAATTACAATTGAATTAACTAAAATTACATTTATTAAATTTATGAAAGTTAAATTTATTTAACACTGATTTCTTAAAATGAAAATATTTCCTGCCCCCCCTCAAATGACATTTTGGGTTGTTTTTCCGCAGCCGGAAGAATCCCATGGGGCTGATCATCGCGTTGGACGACAACAACGAGGCCGTCGGGGAGCTCTTCTGGGACGACGGAGAAAGCACCGGTGAGACCCTGGGGACCCCCAAAATATCTGCAGGGCCCCATCTGGAACCCTGGAGCTGATTTCAGGAGGAAAAAAACAAATTTTTTGAAAAAAATAAACATTTTAAAATTTTAAAATTTTTAAAAATTTAACAAAAATTTTAAAAATTAAAATTTATGACATTAAATTTAAGTTTTAGAATTAAATTTCATTTTAAGACTTAAAAATTTAGGATGTTTTAAAATGCATGGCATTAAATTTCTTTTAAAAATGAAATTTAATTTACAATATTTTAAAATTAATGACCTTAAATTTAATTTCGAAAAATTGAATTTAATTTTAAAATGAAAAGGTAAAATAGTTTTTAATTGATAGCATTAAATTTAATTTTAAAACCTACATTCAATTTAATGGGATTTTATTTCTCCACATTTCAGGTACCATCGAGAACAAAGCCTACATTTTATATGAATTTAAAGTTTCCAACGTAAGTATATGGGGGTTTAACTCTTTTAAAAGGCTCTAATTTTAATTTCGATTTTAATTTAATTTCAATTTTTAGTCTGTTTCTATGAATATTCCTTTTTCCAATTTAAATTGAATTTTTCAAAATTAAATGCGGTGTCATCAATTTTGAACTTCTTTCACCTTCAAATTTTAAAATCAAATGTATTTTTAAAATTAAATGCAATGTCATCAATTTTAAACTATTTTAACTTTTATTAGGGCGCGAGGATCTGGTGGAGGAAGCAATGGGTGGATTTTTACTTCCCCCCGGACAAAATGGGCCTTCACCTGCGGGGGGGGCACATCCTCCCCACCCAGCAGCCGGCGACCACCACCGTGGCCAGGTAAATCCCCGCTTCCCAGCCCAAACTGCTCCAAATTTGAGATTTTTTCAAAATTTCGAGGTCACCTGGTTGCAGGAAGAAAAAAAAAAAAAATTGCAATAAAATTAAGTAACAATAATAATTAAGAAACTCTAATAAAATAATAAGGACTAAAATAAATGTGATTATTGTCAAAATCGTTATTATAATTATTAATTTTATTAGGAGTAAAAGTATTATTATAAATCAATAAGTATCACTATTATTATATATATTAGTATAATCTGCACTTTCTGCCCCAAAATTGTTCTAAAGTTGAAATTTTTTCAGAATTTCGAGGCCACCTGGTTGCAGGAAAAAAAAACATGCCCCCAAAATTGCAATAAA